GGTTTTTCTTCAGTTTTGATCAGTTCAAATGACAGAGTATGCAAAGATGCATTTGTTGGTTGTGCAGCCATAAAGAAACTTTGCAGCGAAAAACTGTTTGAGGGACTTATGATGAACATTTGTAATGAAACTTGTGGATTCTGCACCAGTTGGTTATCCGTTTCCTCTTTTTCAAAATACTGAAGTTATTGAATTAATTAACACTACCACTTAAACTTAGTTTACAGTATTTCTAGATTACTCAAAAGTAAACAACCTTTCTTTGTTTTAGATACTGAGTCAGAAAACTCATTTCCACAGCTTCCTTACAGTGAAAGTACCCCGTATGTTGTCGGTTGCTTTATCAGTCGAGACGGGAAAATTAGCGTAGGTCAGTAGCTTGAGTTTCTTCAAATTTGAAATTTTTCATTTATTAAATTTTCTCTTTTTTTTTCTTTCTCTTTTTGTAGGCGAAGACCGATTTACTTTGGTGAAATATCGTCGTGGTCTTTGTACACATATAATCTTTGATGCAGCAATAGATGAAAACTATAAAGCAAAGTAAGTTTAATAACCGATTAAAAGTGAAATAGAGGATTATGAAAGAAAATTCAGATTACAGTTGTTCAGCTGATCTATAGTTTAGTTCGGTGGATGAACACGATATACAGCCTTACATAACTGAAACATCATGGTATGAAGCGTTGAAACATTTGAAAAGAAATCAAACTAATTTAAAAGTGCTACTGTCATTTGGTCGTTATGATAAAATTTCTAGATCAACTAATGTAAGTAATTCTGTTGTAACGAAGTAAGTTAATAAACATTCTGTAAATGCTAAATTATACAAATTTAAATAACCCAAAATATATTACAGGCAGAAAGTCTGGTACCAGTAACAAGTGAATTTTTCAAGGTAATAAGGTTTTTAGACAACGTTTAATGATCTATTTTTTTTTCGATGCTCAATCTAAGTAGCAATATGAAAAAAATAATACAAATAATGAAGTTATATTTAAGGTAAATTTTTTTTATACAGAACAAAGATTTTTACACAGATATTAATATTTTTAAAGACTTTAATAAATTGTTTTAGCAAATGATTCGTAATCCAAATCATCGTTATAAGTTTATTCATTCAATGCTGGATTACGTACTAAAATTTGGATTTGACGGCATTCATATTGATCACGAAATTTTCCCACAAGAGTCGAACTTGATAACACCATTTACCAGATTTCTAAGGGTTTTGCATCTAAATAATTCAAATCAGATGTCTATAATTGAAAATTAATCACTATATTTATAGCTTTTTCTTTTGAAATGTTTAATAAGTATATAAAAAATATTTTGGCAAAGAAATTTTACCACTGGCAAAGCAAAATATGATTTCTTTTTGTCCATTGGTAAAGGTAGCGTTGAAATTTTGCTAAATAATTTGAGTTTAGCTTTACTTTTATTTTTTAGGAACTAAAACACGCTGCTGAAGAACGCAGTTTAACGGAAGGAAAAAGAATACTGATAACAAAGATTCTTTACGGCAGTATACCACAAATCGACATTTACGATGCTTCACAGTTAGACTGGTTGGTGCAACATCTAGAAGAAACCGCTAATCGTTTCAAGAAAATAATCTGTTTAAAAACTTCAAGCTAACCAAAAATTATTTTCAACTTGTTGATAACTATAAGTACAACAATTGTTGTAAAATTTGCTACATTAATCACATATTTTAGGTCTTTAGACTATGTCTTTCTAAGTCCTATTTATTCGGCAAAATCAGAGGAACATAAACGAGTGAGTACAGATATTCAGGCAGAAGCAGAAAGTGGAGATGAGAGTGCACGAAACTTTGTAAGTGATCAATCCGAATACAAATTTTTGTGCAAAATTTTTAATGATATTGTTGAAAGTGTCAGCAAAAATTAGACTGCTTTAGCATTGCTATGAGCTCAAGCTAAATTGTTAAGAATATTTGAAATATTTTTATTAGGTTTTATTTGTTAAATTTTACAAAAGATAGTAATATTTGTTGATTTTTAGTAAAATTATTTAGTTACTAATAAACAAAAAAATTGAACAACGTTTATAGATGATTTCTGCAAATTATCTGTATAAGAAAGGAATTCCAAAATCGAAAATTGTTGTTGGCATTCCAACATACGGAGCTTTTGGAAATTTGAAAGATGCAGTTGGAAATGGTAGAGAAAAAGGTAGCCAATATTTATCAAAAACACACGTTGCAATTACCGGAATTATGCCTTATGATGAGGTAACAGTATATTAAAACATTTTATATTGATAATGCTGTTTTTTTTTGCTCTACAAAAAATTACATTAAACAGTTGCTGAAATTCTTTTTGAGATTAACATCGATAATCTTCAATAGCTGTTTATGATAATGTCTTTTTAGATTTGCAAGGTGCTTGTCAAAACTGATCACACAGATTTGTTGGACAGTGATTTTGTACCATTTGTAGTTTTTGACAATAAATGGTTGTCGTTTGAGAACAGAAAATCAATTGCTGCTAAAGTATAACAGTTTTATTTTATTTTATTTTTTTCATAAATAGAAGTATAAATATATGTTTGAAAAAAAGTTACAAGTTGATAAATTTTTTGTACTACATTACAAAAATTTATTTATAAAAAAAAAAAAAAAAA